TGGAATGTTTCAAAGTGAGTGTGGGGGGACCACAGACGCGAAAAAAAATTTTTTTTGAATAAATTCAGTTTTCTATAAACAGATGCATTTCTCCCTCTGCCTTAAAGTGTGACACACCTGTCCTTCAATACAAAAAGTCAAAGAAAGCATCTTTACATTTGAGAAAATCGACACAGAACACGTGATTTTAACCATTTTGTCACATAATTGGCCTGTTTTCTTTTGAATTTGGCTCAGCCAAAGTGAAACAGGAAGTGACATCAAAGGGGAACTCATTAATAAAAACAAACTTTGTTTATTAAAAATAATTTATATAAACTTTAACTCTTTGTCTTTTTTTTGATAGCGGCTAAAAAGCTAAAGAAACCACATGTTGTTAGCTTTTGTAACAACACTCTGTTTACATGCAGACACTCCCCTGTGACATCACTTCCTGTTTCTTCACAAGCAAATATCTCAACAACCGTTCATCTCAGAGACGTGAAATTTGTTTTGCAACATGTTATCAATGTTATCTTTCCAAAAATGCATTTGAGTTTATTACAAAAATTTGATGTCACAGGCCCTTTAAAGTTCTGCTCCTCCCCTTGTTTTCTGTTAAGAGCTCAGATTATGAGTTGGGGATGACTCTCAGCTACCACCACACTAAGTTTGACCTCGAAACCTGTCAAACTGGAGGATTCTGAAAATTTTTACTGTTTTAGCGACAAGTTAGCTGAGACAGCCGTCTTATATCATCAACATCAAAACTGAACTCTTTGCATCCAAAGACGTTTCATTAAAATCTGTCGGGCGGATGTTGAGATATTTTGCTAACAGACAGATGAATGAACACAGGTGGGAACGTGATCACAAACAGGTTTTAATTTGTCTAAACAAGAGGAAAAAGTTCAGTTTTTGATTTAATCTAGAAAACTATTCAATCAGTCAGTCGTGTTTTTCTCTGTAAATAAAGATAACTTTATTAAACATAAACAGTTTTCTGTTTGATACGGTGAAGCTAAATGTTTAGCAAAAGTTGGAAAAGTTTTAAAGTTCATTAAAACTGTAATTAAAGAGTTGTGATTATGGATTTTAACGTCAAATATTTTATTTTAATTCATCTTTTTACAAGCTGTGTTTTTATTTGTTTTTTCTTTATTTTTTGTATGATTATATTTCATAATTTTATGATCAGCTCAGTTTTGTATTATTGGATTATTTCTTTATATATACAGGTGCTGGTCATAAAATTAGAATATCATGAAAAAGTAGATTTATTTCAGTAATTCCATTTAAAAAGTGAAACTTGTATATTATATTCATACAAACTCATATATTTCAAATGTTTATTT